TGCATGGTTTCAAAAGGCTAGTGGAAATGGGGCTTTACTGACCCCCTCCACATCCGATGGTAAGCTACAAAAAGGTACCTGTTTACAGAGTGCTGTGTCCAAGCATTTTATTAAAGCTGAGTAGAAAGAGAAAGTGTGGCAGAGAAGGAACACCCAGTGGATGGATAATCACAGCTTTAATAATGAGAAAATAGTCCTTAAAAATGTCCAGGAAGTCTGGACACATTGGTTGTTTTTAAAGTTGATTACTTAAGAGAAAAAAACACAAAATAAAGACATAGTCTACACATTCCTTATTAATGCCATTACTGGGCTAAGGAGAGACAGTTTGGATGTTAAGAGGTCTGAAGTCCTCTTTTTATGTCAAAGATTAGTTTGTATTTCATTTGGAAATAAGGTATGCTGGTGAAGATTCAGGTCATACTCATTCCAAAAAAGTAAAAAAACATCCACTGGACTTTGTTTCCAAGTTTGAAGACTTTTTGCTTCCCATTCAGGAAGCTTTTTCAATGAAAAATGTCAGAAATAGGGTTGAGTTCGAGGCTTTATAGAGAGGACCAAAACAAAGCCTTGCTTTGGTTTAGAAAACTTGCAAATTGAACCAGAAGAATGGGTCCACCCCCTGAATGGTTTGAGTTCTTTGTTAGCCAATTTGGAAAGGAAGTTCGCTCAGTCTGCAGGAATAGTGGAAAATAGTTCACTTTTATTTTCATATCTGGAAACATCTACCTAACTATATCTTCTGAGGAAATATTGTTTTAAAAAGCCCAGGTTTTAATTGGCCATGGATGAATAAATTCTCTAATTTTAGCATAATCTCTATGTTTTCTCTCAGACAATCCCAGCCACACGGCTGCAGTGATTGCTGCCATCGTCCTCATCCTCCTGCTGGGCATAGCAGGTCTGGTTTACTCCAGGTGCCACCTCAACATCAAGCTCTGGTACAAAAACTCCTATGGAGACTATGAACTCAACGGTGAGTCTTGTTGAAGCGGTGTAGTTTATTCATGTATGTTAAATGTCCTAATATTTGTTTTTGTGTTTTATCATCAGATGGAAAGCTGTATGATGCCTACATCTCTTATGTCAGCAATGACTATGACAGAAAGTTTGTCAACTTTATCCTCAAACCTCATCTGGAGAATAAAAATGGGTACAAGGTTCACCTCAATGACAACGATATCCTCCCTAACACTGGTAACAACAATGAATATAAATAAATATCCTTTTTTTTTTGTATAAACATACTAATTTTGCTTGACAGATGTTTATAGTTATTATTTGTGTTGCATATAGCTTTCTAACGCTCCCATTCTTGTGTTCCAGAGCCTTCAGCAGAGTTCCTAATGAACATGAGCCGCTCCCGCCGGCTCATAGTGCTCCTCTCTCACCCTTATCTCGAACAGGATTGGTGCACAAACAATTTCAGGTCTGTCTCAAGCAAAGCAAATTTGCCTATATATGAAATGGACATTAAAGGTGTGATAGAATGATTCTATAGGGTATCTGGTCCTTCAGGTCTCTAATAGGGTGATAGAATGATTCTATAGGGTATCTGGTCCTTCAGGTCTCTAATNTAGAACATGATGAGAAGACCAGAACTCAGAAACAAGACAATGATGAGAGAATTCAGGAAATGAAACAGAAACATGTTGAAGATTTAAAGAACCTGCAGTTAGAACACGATGAGAAAACCAGAACTCAGAAACAAGACAACGATGAGAGAATTCAGGAAATGAAACAGAAACATGTTGAAGATTTAAAGAACCTGCAGTTAGAACACGAGGAGAAGATAAATGAATTGATCCAACGGTATGAAGACAAAATAACTGCTATAAAACAAGACAACGATGAGAGAATTCAGGAAATTAAACAGAAACATGTTGAAGATTTAAAGAACCTGCAGCTAGAACACGATGACATCATACCATCACAATGTACGGACCAATTTTTAATGAGTTGGTTAGACTTCCTCGTGCCAGGTTGAGGGATTGTTGGTGTAGCGGTTAGAGCAGTGCTCTTGTGGTCTAGAAAGGTTGAAAGTACCTGGTTCGATCCCCACAGCCTCCCCTCTGAGTCCCTGAGCAAGACCCTTAACCCCACACTGCTCCCCGGGCACCACACAATGGCAGCCTACTGCTCCCCAAGGGGATGGGTTAAATGCAGAGGTACATTTCTCCAATGTGAGATCAATAAAGTTCAATTAAATTTTTTGAAGCTTTTTCCTGTGCGACTCTTTCCAGGTTCAATTCAATATTTGAACATATCTGTGAAGATTCTCAGTCATGCTTGAAAAGTTCAGATTAGGCAACTGGACGTGCATGTCCAAAACAAAAACAGACAAAATAAAGAATCTACTTGAGCAAGTGGTAGAGCTAACCAAAACTTGCTTTGCTATGCATAACCGCTAAGTGAAAGCCTCCTCCTACCGTCACTAACATGCTTTAGTAATCAGTGGTGCCCTGTAATACTGGGAATAACAATTCATGCATAGTGGAGAAAGTTGTATGGAAAATAAAGTCTATCCTTCCAGGTCTGATATTCTAAGAGCATCTTTGTGTTTCTCTAAAGGTGTGTAGCAATGTATTTATAAAAACAAATGTTTTATGAGATGCCAGAAGAAGCAGTATACTGTACATAATTATATTTGACACCAACAGCAAATCATCCCGTCTTTGCTCAAGTTTTAACGTTTTGCTCAGTTTGTCCTTAAACAATGATTTAATAAAAGATAATGTAGGTTCGGGTGTTATTCTTCCAGTTTTCTGGGTCTGATCTGAAAAAATAAACTTCACTCATTTTCTAAAGTGCTTGTTTTACAATCCTCTGGATTCCTTGGGCTTTGGGTATAATATTTTTATATTTTGTATTGTTTTAAGTGAGGCATGCATTTCCTTTTTTTATCTTCTGTATTTACTTAAGTGTGTAAACATAACTTCTGTTGAATTGGTGATTTCTACTGGTTAATAAATGTTAAGTACATATATACTCTTTCCTGTACTAATTTTAGAATTGTGTTAGATTCTACTGGTTCTGGAACCAACCTCTGCAGATAGGCTAAGTTAGAATAGAATCTGTTTTTTTTTATTATTATTATTTCCCTTTGTCATCAATAAAATGTATTTCAATAAAACCCCTTTTGATATTCTTGTGTTTGTCTCATTTAATTTTCCCCTCTGTGTTTTTTTTGGTGCCAATGGACTTTATGGAGGACTGTCCAAGCCTCTTTTAACACACATGAATAGATACTTTTCTGTGCTTTTTCTGGCTTCCTGCTCTTCTATACACCTCATCATGAAGTTCATCATGAAGTAACAAAGCAGGTTAATAAAAAAATATATTCATCTAACCAATTTTAAAACTCTGTGATGCTTTAGAAAAAAGGTTTATCAAATTAATACCAAATACTCGTTTATTGAGTAGAGGTGTAAACAAAGCAACTGGTTTCAAGCTGATCTATTGTTAATAGTTAAAGGGCTGATAGAATGATTCTATAGGGTATCTGGTCCTTCAGGTCTCTAATAGGGTGATAGAATGATTCTATAGGGTATCTGGTCCTTCAGGTCTCTAATA